CCAGTGCTGGAGCATATACACCATTCACTACTTCACTTGCATTTTGAGGGATGGTTGCTCCCACATGCTTTTAAATTCTCTGAAGTGGCACATACATACAAGGACTGGCATGCACAGTACACACACTTCCTCTAGTCAGTTCCTAAATCTCCAGTGAGAGTGCATGGAGCAATGGGGATATGAAAATAGTATCATTTCCTTGGACAAGCAGATTTGAATAGGGTCAAGTAAGAGTCTAGGTAACTAAAAGTCAGCTGATAGTCTGACAACACATACAAATGAAAATCAAGAACTAAAAATGGTCTGTGTTACCCCTGCAGACCTCTGTGAAATTCAGGTATTTTAAGGCAAGAAGAGATAACAAAGTTCAGGTAAGAAGTGCTCCTACGTACCACAAGCCATGAAATTCTATATGTTCACTTCCAGTAGCAGCAATTATACCTCCATGAATGTCAGTAAAGTTCTTTTGCATAAATTTCCCATACATCATTGTCAGCATAAGAAATTCTGGTCTCCCCCAGGCCCAGGCTTTCAAGAAAACTCATGAAAAATTTCTAATCTTTGCTCACCAAACATGTCTGTAATAAGTTGCAGATTTGGAGATAGATACATGTTCGTTACCAGACTACCTATCTTTTGTGCACCAGCTTTCCCCTTTATAGTTCCACATCTCTCGGCTACTTCAAACATCTTTAAAAAGTAAAGCTATCTCAATCCTTTCCATCTGTTTAAAATTTCCTCCTGAGAGATGAAGTCTCTCAACCTTCTTAGTTTTGCAGTCCTGGTCATGATATACTCTTTCAGCACCAAATCTCTACTGCAGCAACATGTTGAGGTTTTCTCTAGCTCTTCCGAATGAACTGTGACTATGAATACATTATCAGGTAATACAAGTGCATCAGAAGCAGAGCTGTAGAAACTGGTGGTGCTGAAGTCCCAGCATTCACTTCACATTTCAGGTTGCCTTCCAATTTAGTGTCTCCTGAACAGAACCCAGACAACACACTGACAACACCCTGTAATGAGTATTGAAAGTGCAGTAAGTGGGGCTATTCAGAGATTTGCTCCACAAGGGTGCTCCTGGCAAATTAAAATGAGAATGCAAACGCATCCTGGGTATTTCAGTGCACCTTGTGACACTGGCAATTAACTCTCTAATAGCTTAAACTGGTGTCCTAACTATGCAAGGTACAGGTTACAAGTGACAACAAAACACAGGTGTTAACACATCCCCAGATGTGTCACCTACCCCTACATGAATGAGCTACCAAATTTAGATGAGAAGGTATTCTGTGTGAACTCGAACTGGGAGAAAACAGGACAGGAGCAAGAGCCTAAACTTCTTCTGTGGCAAAGAGGTACTCTAAGTGGTTGCCTAGATACTATAATAAATTAGATTAAAAATGCTAGAATTTTAAAAGGAGGTGTTACTTGCCTCGGGAAAAAAAGAAGTATGTGTTAGAAATATCAGTAGAAGATACCAAGTCAAATGTTAGAGGGATTTCAGAAACTTGGTGAAACACAAGTTTGGAGAGTATTAACTGTTTGGAAAAGAAATAAAGGCAGAAGAAGAGCATTGTGCATTAACAGTAAAATAAGTTGAAAGGGCAAGTTTCTGTTAAGAAAGATGCTGTCGAATGTGAGAGTTAAAGAAGGAGAACGAGGATATGAACAGAAAGATTTCGACATCTGGAGTGCAAACAGACTCCAAGAACCACACCATGCCCAAACCTGGGCTTATGCTGCTAACCTGCACTTCATCAATCTGCAAGAAGCAACATAAGGATTATTACCTGGAAGTCAGGTATCTAAACATCTCTGAAATCAAGGGGGGCATTGTACCATAGAACAGGGCAACAACAAAGGGTGAAAACATCATCTTCACCTAGATGCCACATAGGAGTGGATATGCCTGACCATAGCGATTAATGATGCCGCTGCAGAGAAGTGTAAACGAGATGCAGCTAGAAGGATCTTGATGAGAGTGAAGGAGAAAAGAAGAGGTATTTGGAGTGGTGTGCGGCGTTATGTGGGTTCCAGATGACAAAATATTTCTCTGCAATTCTAGACTGAACTTCTGCGTAAATCATAAGGTGTTAAAAGTGACCTGGGCATTTCCAGGCTCATTATTCAACCAGAATTATCCAGAAAAGTTTATGTGGCAAAGTGCATTTGGAAGAATCAAAGTTTTGGAGATCAGCTGTGACTAATTAAAATGCTTGGATTTGGGTCATCCTGAACACTTACTAAATTTACCACTTGCTGACTTACTGAAATACCTCTTTGGTAGGATAACAGACCTTTTCACCAGTGAAATACAGTACACTGCATATTTTACTTGTGTAAATATTCTGAGAGTACATCTTTAGTATAGTAGCATAGTATTCTGGTGGAAGCAGTCACAGCTGAATAAAGAACAGGCTTCACAGACTGACAGTGAGTTTTTATGTAAGGGCCTATCAAGCCAACTGAAGTTACAGGTGGAGTTCAGCAGTGATTCTCCTTCCAATTCTGTGTCCAGTTGTTCTTATTCATGTGCTTTTACTTCCTCTTATGTCTTTGTGCTTACATCTAACATGATCTGGAATGCAAGGCATGAAGAGAAAAAGACCAGCACTAACTTTTGACTCATCCACTCGATCCCCGTTTGTAATGGAGAACATCACTGAGGACATTCCATTCAAATATTCTGGGGTTGTTTGCTAGCTGTGTTGTGTTCACCAAGGAATTGCAATGGGAGATGTGGTGTGAAGGCTATAGCAAAACTCAAGCTGCTTATGTGATGGGGAAACTGGCTGACTTCATGCAAATTAAAAGTCAGTTACAGTTAATAGAAGTTTTGCTCCATGAAGGCCTAATTACGCCATGTCCATGTTATTGTGAGGAACCAAATCTATTTACTCTAGCACTAAGTGCTGGAAAGAAAGAACTTACTTGGTTTCCTGTTAAAAAAAACAAAACTGCTGACAGCAATTGAGGAGCATCTGGGTCCTAAACTTCCAGCTTCCCAACTCCTTAAATTCAATTAAAACTCTTGAACAGACAACAACTTGGCAATGAGATTTCTCACTGAAACCAAGTTTTCATTTGTGCACTTTACCAGTAGATTGATCTTGTTTCTGGCCTTGTTCCAAACATTACCAGAGCAATAGTGAAGAAACTAAAGATTAAAAGGAAAAAAATGACTGTAGTAAATGTGAAAATGTTTAAAGCAATCAGTTTACAATTTTTCCTTTATTATTATTATTATTATTATTACTACCATCACTACTGGTATGGGACTAGCATCCCTGTGGGACTCCGAAGCATGCAGTGCCAAGCGGTGGCTCCTCCCTGGATAGTCAGCAAATTAATTGAGAAACACAAGGGACAGGTAAAGGTCAACATTGTATCTGTTTTTAAAGACAGAAAACTGAATCACATGGAAATCAAGTCACTAGTCAAAGGTCAAACAGAAAGCAAGTTGCAAGCATGGAAACTGGGAAACTGTATCTTACATTCAGCTCCTTAACTTCTTTAATCTGAGAAGAAAAAAACCCTCAGTGCTAGAATATTAAGATCAAAAATAGTTTTGCTGAGGACAGTCTGAATTTCTCCGTCTCATCCAAAACTGGGTATTGTTCTGCCTCATTAAAGCAGAAACAAGGTGAATGTTAACAACACTGGTTTGGTCAAAACAAAATCACAGCTACTCTTTGAAACGTTTGTACTCTGAAATATTGCTTTGCAATCAGTTTTGGAGAAACAATCAAGTCAGTGATCAATTCAGGTGTAGCTTCTGAGAAATGAACAAAAATGAAACAGTTCCCTTCTGAAAGAATGAAGATAGAAGCTACATTTGAGAGATATTGTGGTATTCCAGGGGCTTCATCCACTCTTCATGTATTATTTTGCATTTCTATGAAACATACAGATATGTATGTGTACATACGTATGCATGTGTATATACACACACAGAAATATACTTGTTTATCCATATAAATACACATACATATGTGTGTGTCTGTAGATATGCACAACTACATATGCATATACACACATATATATTTACATAAGCAGAGAGAAATTACATGGGATTTAAGGAACACAAGACAGGGCATGGAAAGAGGCAAACAGGTCATTTCCCCATGCCCTCTATTTCTTGATGCAAGGGAAGCCCAGACATGATGTGGCGTTACAGTATACACTAGCAGAGAGTGACCGTGAGCTCTGGTTTTAGTTTCAGGGGCTAGGAAGATCTACATGCCTTGCCAGGCCCAAGGGATTAAACTGCAGTTACACCATATGCCGGGGCTTTTCTTGCCCTGAACACCGTCAAGGACAGAGGCAGTCAGACTGTAACCTAGTCACCTGGAATCACTCCCATCACACCTCATGGGAGACTTGGGAAGGTTCATATTAAAAGACAAAGCCGAGGTGCAATAACCATGGGTGCTTCAGCACCGCAGCAAGGTTCTGCTTTGGCAACCTTCCCCCTGTGTGACAGTGAGGACAGTGAGCTTGGCTCCTAACCTTGGGCTGGCCAGGGTGGCTTGGGTCACAGGAATGGCATGTTGCAAGGGGGGGTGGAGGTGTGTAATTGCAGGGGCTTCTGGCTTCTTCTGAAAATATTAAGCTGTCTATTTAGAGAGCGATGGCTGCCTTTGAAATCACTCCTTATAGATCTACAGTCCGCACTGGGGCACCGAGGGTGCGCTGCGGCCTGGGCTGGGGGGGGGGGGGGGGCTGGGGGGAGAGCTCCCTCTGAAGCTCCGCGCCTTTGTCTCCCGGCCATGCCCCGCGGGCTTGGCAGCGGGGACCGGGACTGGAACGGGGCAGCCGCAGCCCCCAAGCCCCCACCTCAGGTCCCTTCGCTTGACCCCAAGCACAGTCACAGGATTCCGGGGAGCGGGCACAAAAGCTGGGTTGTATTCTTCCTTCCCGATTGTTTTACCTTTTTATTTTGCCTTCCTCTCCCCGTGCCCCCCCACTCGTCCTTCTAAATAGGAGATGTTCTCAGGACAGCGCCCAGGAGACTGGCTGGAATCAGTTTTGGAGGGTGATACACCGCGACAGCTAAAAGTTGGATAGGGTTTCAGCAGCTCCTATATAAAGCAGGGGGGACTTATGTCACTGCACTAATTAAATTCCATCTGGGTTGCTCCTCGGGGTGTTTTTGAGCCTGCCACCCAACTGAAGCCGGCAGAGAGGCCGAGGGACAGCATGATGGACCTTTTTGAAACTGGCTCCTATTTCTTCTTCTTGGACGGGGAGAATGGAGCCCTGCAGCAGCTGGAGATGGCCGAGGGATCCCCGCTGTACCCAGGCAGCGATGGCACCTTGTCCCCCTGTCAGGACCAAATGCCGCCAGAGGCCGGCAGTGACAGCAGCGGAGAGGAGCATGTGCTGGCACCCCCGGGACTACAACCCCCTCACTTCCCCGGCCAGTGTTTGATCTGGGCTTGTAAAACTTGCAAGAGAAAGTCGGCCCCCACGGACAGGCGGAAAGCAGCCACGCTGCGGGAGAGAAGGCGACTGAAGAAGATCAACGAAGCCTTCGAGGCTCTGAAAAGGCGGACTGTGGCGAACCCTAACCAGAGGCTGCCCAAGGTGGAGATCCTGAGGAGCGCCATCAGCTACATCGAGAGGCTGCAGGACCTCTTGCACAGGCTGGATCAGCAGGAGAAAATGCAAGAGATCGGGGTGGACCCTTTCAGCTTCAGCCCCAAGCAGGGAAATGTAAGCACTGCCGCCCGGTTCCTTCCACCGCCCTGGCCTCCAGCTTCCAACCCGCCGCGCCCGTCCCCACCCCTCCTCCGGCTCTACGCGGCTTCTGCGGCGGCCGCGGGACGTGCGGGTTCCTCGGGGCCGCGAAGGGCAGCCGGCCCGGCCCGGGGAGCAACGGGCCGCCTTGCTCATACCGGCCCGCCTGTGTGCCGCAGGTCCCCAGTGCAGACTTCCTGAGCACCTGCACCTCCGACTGGCAAAGCGTTTCTGACCATTCCCGAGCCCTGGGAGTCAGCACCAAGGAAGGTAACTCGCACCGCGGTCCCTGCTCCTCAGTACCCCCCCGCCGCCGGGCCGTGCTCACCCGCCGCTGCCGAGCGTCTTTCCCTTGCCCTAACGGTCTTTGTCCCAAAAGGTCGCGGTCCCAACGGCCGGTGTCTCACCCCCCGCCCGTCGTGAGCCCCGCGCCGCAGGACCGGCGAAATCGAACGGTTTTGCTCTTTAATCCCTTCTCTGTCGTTGAGCAGGAGGTTCCGTCGTCGAGTCGTCGGCCTCCAGCAGCCTCCGCTGCCTCTCTTCCATAGTGGACAGTATTTCTTCCGACGAGCCCAAACTGCCCAGCCCTGAAGAAGCGGTGGACAAATAAACCCGGTTGCCTCGGTAGTATATTTAACGGAGATGGAGCCCCCACCCCTCCCCTCTAAACTAAATAACGAAGCAAATTAAGGCAGTGGAAAGCCCAGGCAGAGGCCTCGTTAAGGTCGAGTCAGGGTATACCTATCCCAGAGAAAAAATGGCTCTCCCTGACCCGAGCCAGACTTTCCCCCCTTTTATCCCCACCCTGAGTTTTTTCTTTAAACGTGTTACATAGACCATCCCACCTTTATGTCGTCTTTATTGTCTTTGTTTGTTTGTTTGTTTAAGATACTTACCTGTGTACCGGTGATCCGCTTTGTCTGAAGCTCACCGGAAAGTTCATTCCTGTCTGAGGGAAGCTGTTGGTTGCATTTCGCATTAATCGTATTTAAAAGAGATCCCGCCTCGTTTCGTTCCTGTAAATAATTTAAGTACTGTCTCTGTCTTGCCGGTTTGTTTTTTTTTTTTGTAAACAAATATTTAAATTGTGGAATGTGATATTGTATATAAGAACAGACATATTTCTTGCATTGTAAAATAAAGCTCTTTGTATTACAGTGCTTCTCCTCCCCCCTCCCCCCCCTCCCCCCCCCCCCGGCCCCCTCCACCTCCCGGTAATTCAGTAATAACGCGATCCCGGATTTAAAACCCGCCACCGGCTTAAGCGACGTCGAGCACCGGGGAGTCAGGCGGGTACTGCCGGGACACGACCCATGCGGCTGGACGCATTTCTTCTCCGTTTTCTGCTCCAAGGCACGTCTCTCCTCAGCTGGGGTCCCACCGGCGGTGTTACCGACCCTCTCCCGGGGCAGCGTCCGGGCAAGGCGGGGTGCCGCAACCGTGACCTCGCTGTGCCTCGCAGCGGACTCCCCCCTCCCCGGAAAAGCGTTATTGCTCCCCTAAAATGCCCAGTGGTGCCGCTTACTTAGATGGGCAGGCAGGGACCTTCTGCGGCCTTGTTCTGCACATGACAGATGAGCCTGGAAGGTGGCAGCGCAAGGATCCCCCCTGGTCCTTGAGAACGGAAAGTCTCAGCGCCTCTCACCTTTTCCTCTCGGCACTTGAACCTAGGTCTTGTCTGCAGCAAAACTGCTGGGCCCACTGCCCTAACGGGGCGGCAGAAGGCAGGGACAGGAGCCCGCTCCCTCGGGAGCTGGGGGCCGTGGTTTCTTGTCGGGCAAGGAAACTCCCCTTGGCTTCTTGAGCCTGAGGGAGAGGGGAGAGGGGTCCCTCCGGGAGGAAAGAGTTAAACGGCCGAAAAGGGGGTTGGGGAGGGTTACAACAGATGAAGCCTTTCACTCAGAGATGTAAAACCCCCAGCCAAAGCAAACAGGGCCCTGAGGACTGTGGAGCGGAGCTGCTAGCAGCCGGAGCGTTACGGTTTGTAACAGATTGTTGATACCCCCGGGATGGGGCGACCACCGGGGAACAGCCCTGCGCACGCACACACGGCTCCACACGGTGCAGACAACAAGCAGCAGGGCAGCAGCTCCAATGCTGCCGGCGGATGCTCCCCTCCTCAGCTTTAACCAGTAGTGTATTTTTAGGGGGTTGGTTATTTAAAGGCCACAGCCGCATTTTGGGAAGGTCTCCTCCCCCCTTTCCCGGCCGGCTAGGGCGCGGTTGCGGTTGTCGGAGAGGGAAGCTCTGGGAAAAGGCTGATGCGAGAGCCAGTGCCTGTGCCTCTGCACTGCCTCCTTCCTCCTCCCCCGTGCCGCTGCCGCCAGCCTGGGTTTTAAACCTGGGGAGTGGTGGCTGTAATTGCTCTCTTAATGAGACAGATACTCTGGTGTAAGGAGTACTTCCCCTTTTTCTCGTTCCACACACAGAACACACAGAGCCTCAGGTTGCTCTTGGGCACTTCAGAGAGAAGGCTCCTGCGTGACGTCTCTGCGTTTGGTTAAGACGTCATGGCTTGTTTCCGTAGCGAGGTGACCTCACCAGAGTATTGCTATCGCTAACCTCAACCAAGGGGCCTGTCCGCCCGCGGCAGCGTCTCCTCCCGCAGCAGGGTAACTCGAGTGATTGGAGTAAATTTGCCTACAGGAGAAGGGATTGGGGTTTTTTCCTTAAATAAAATGCCTTCCGAAGAGACTCCGTGACCCCCGAGCTGCGGCTGACATGCCGGCCTTCCCAGTGAGGGTCCTCGGTGTGTTTGCAATTAAAATGTTTGTCTTTGATATTAATAACGATAATCTTTACCTTAGCCCCCAGCCAAAGCAAACAAAGCCCTGGAATCACAAGATCAAAGGGTAGTAACAGGGTAAGGACAAGCAGGTTGTGATTTAATCTGGGCTTTCTCCGGAGGGGCCACGCACGGAGGCATCGAGGTTTTTACACGACGGCCGCTGCCCCTTCTCTCCCCCTCCGCCGCGCTCCGGTTTATTTAACGGGAAAGACGAGGGCCGGGACGCTGCTCCAGCAGACACCTAAATCCCGGCCCCCTCGCCCCCACCGGCCCCACTCCGCACGGAGCCACCTGCCCGCTACCGCGGGGGGCGCGGATCCGCCAGCGGGACCAGGGGGACACGGGGTGTCTGCAGGGCTGCTGCGTTGTCACCGCTCTGCTCTGAAGTGACAAGACCGTGCTTAACGCCTCTTTTTGATTTTTAACTTTATTTTTATTGCGCGTCTTTGTTTTCCTCCCTAACGCCGGCCGCAGCCCCAGGAGGGAGGCAGGCAGCCGGCAGCGGGCTCAGCTTAACTTCCGAGGCCGAAGGCAAGGCAGGCAGGCAGGCGTCTGTCCGGCAGCTATTTCTACGCGGAAAAGTCCTGCTGCAATCAGTGCTGCTTTGGGGAACCAGTACGACTTTTGCAGAGCTTCCACCTTTCTGTGGGGAACGAGCTAGGGAATGGGAGTGGGGGGGCAGGGGAGGGAGGAGGCTGAATAATTGAACCATGCGCTCGCTGGGACGTCCCTCCGATAGCAGGAACTAGCGACTTTTCCCAGTCTCAAGGCTGCTAAAAGCCCCTTGCGTCCCTTTGATCTCTCTTGGGAGTCCGGGGGTGCCAGCAGAGGCCAATGCCTTCTTCAGCTGTCCTCTGTACAGATCCCCCTGGCAGGTACTAATGTGTTTACTTAGGTGCGCAGCGTTCCCAGCGCTGGAGGGAACCAAACGTTTCTCACACGGCTGGAAGCGCCCGGCCCTGCCAGCCCAACTGCGGAACAGTTTCCCGGCGGGGCGGCGCGGAGGAGCCCTCGCCGCCAGCCACGGCACCCACCGACCGCCGGAGGGGAGAGGCAAGGGGTGAAGGCGGCACGGGACGGCTCGGCAGTGTCGAGCGTCCCGTTACATACAAGACGTCTCTCCCCGGGTGACGCTCCTGGGGCCGGTTGCCGCTGCACACCGGAGGTCCGCTGGGAACCGCACCGTGCTTTGCAGAGGTGCGGGGTGCGCAAGGCTCGGGTGGGCCCCAAACACCTCTCGCCCCCCGGGAGGATTTTTTTTGGTTAAATAGAAAATCCCGTTAAATAGATCATACGAACTGCGAATGCTCCCAACGTGGGATGGAATCCCTCCAGAAATAGGATTGCTGCGGCTGGGGTGAGGACTCCATTTCATAGAATGGTTTGGGTTGGAAGGGACCTTAAGGATCATCTAGTTTCAACCCCCGTGCCATGGGAAGGGACACCTTCCACTAGGCCAGGTTGCTCAAAGCTCCGTCCAACCTGGTCTTAAACACCTTCAGGGATGGGGCAGCCACAGCTGCTTAAAGGGGTCGTGACACGTTCACCATTTTCTCTGTGTCCGTCCACAGAGGCAGACACTGTCTGAGGGTCTGGCGGTTCCCGCTTTCCGGACTTGAGCCGCTATTCTCCCCCACCCCCCAGCAGCCTCATTAGCCAGCCTTGTAGTTTGTGTTTTCTCCCCCCGTCTTTAGTTCCACTCCCCTATTGCACTTCTGCAAACTTGAGATCACTTTACCAGAGGAGCCGGTGGCTCTTAAGGGATACTAATTACAGATTATTTTTTTCTTCCTGAGTGACAGGCTCTTTCACCCTTTCTTCCGTTTTCCCCCAAATATTAAAGGAAAAAGGGAAACAAAGTTTCCTAGCTCCTCAAAGACTTCTGGGGGAAAGGCAAGTTTCTTAACGACCCCACCACGGCTCTTCAGGCCGGGAGGTGGGACCGATGGGGTGTCCACCGGGAGACCTACTGTGCGTGCCTGGAGAGAAACCCCTCCTTGGAAGATGATCACAGCTGTGGCCAGCACTTGAAAGATCAAGTTTATTTGTGGACAAAGCATAAATCTGTAAACAGGGTTTATTTTAGCCAGCGCAAAGGGGGTAAATCACAATATGTGTGTGTCCGTGTGCTCGCCACAGCCCAGTGAAGAGTTCAAGTTACTGCCGAGCAGAGCCCCTTTCTAGCTGAGTGTGTCTTAGGAAAACAACAGGGAACTGCCCTGTTTCAGATATGGCACAGCTAAACAGCAACCTGCCCCTCGGAGCGGCAGAAGCCTGGAATTCTGAGCTTTACCCTTTCTGTAACTTTACTCCTTTATCAACTCCCGGCTTTTCCTACAGTATTCATTTCAAAGGGGGCTCTCCCTGTTTATGGCCCCAAATAAACCGAAGCAGCGCAAATGTAGCCTTCCCCAAGCTTTCGATATTTGTGCATCCGATAGTTGGAAGAAGGAGGGATTTGTGCATGGGGCTTTTCTTTAAGGAAAATCATATAGCCTAAAAGTGGAAATCCGCTTTTGGGGGGTTCGGGGCTAGGAGGGCAGACGAGGTCTCCCCAGCAGAGGCGCGGGGGGGGGGGGGGGGGGGGGGTTCGGAAGGTTTTCCAGCACGGCACCTCTCTAAGGTGATGTTCCCTGCCCGCTTTGCTCATTCGAAGAGCAGCTCCTTGAGACACCCGGGTGGCCGTGCCCTCTGCATTACCTTTTCCTGACGAGGGGCTAAACCGGAGTCGACTTTTTCCTGGACACACGGATCGGTTCTGTAGCGTTTGACCCGCTGCTGGGTCCCTTGCTCTCCGTTTGAGTTAACCTAGGTCAACATAATTTTATTCCCAGGTATAGAAGGTTCCCTTCGCCTTCTCACAATATTTGCCTCCAATACAAAAGCCACCTGGATGAAACCAAAGGGTTCCTGCGCGTTAGCAAATGCCTATTAAATGGCTTCATTACCGCTCTAATGACCCTTGCACCGCTCCGCTCAGCTACTGCTGCGGCTGGGGCTCTGCAGGGCTTTTGTCCCCGGCTTGTGTAAAATTACTTAGGGATTGCGGGGTTAGAAATTTTACACTTTCAGGAGGGGTTTGTTGCACTGGCAGCTGGGACGCATCTGTAACGGTACAAGTTTGCCTGAAAGCAGAAAATTAGCAAGCCCGAGGCACTGCTCGACTGTTGTGTCTCTGGCAGTGCCGGGTCACACGAGTAGGAGAAAGAATGGGAAGGGGGTTTGTCTCGGAGCAAACACGTACATTTTTCTTTTGTGAGTAGCTTTCTCTGTGACCCGATCCGACAGCACTAAAACCTGGGTCACTCCACTCCTCGTCTCTCCTGGCCACACGTAGCTGGGCATTTTTGTCCTCCGGTTGATGACACAATTTCAATTA